CAGAAACAAAAATCTATTCACACATAAGAGGAAACCAACAACAGACCAAGGTGCTGAACTCATCTGCTATAAAGTACAGGAGTGGTAATAATAAAGGCAATTCAATTAAATGTTTTACTGACTTTTGTCTGATTCAGCAAATACTTTGCTGGATTTGATGGTTATTTTGTGCAGTTTTCACCAAGTGGTCACTTGCCTCTTTTTAGTAAAAAAAACACTGAGAGACATAAAAAAAATAGTAGCACCGATTGGTTCAAAAAGGGTGCAGCATCAACTCACAAAACAGAATAAAAGATGGGGCAAATTAATAATAATGATTAGGGAAGGAGCCCTTGTTTTCTGCATTAACATTTTAGCTCTGTTATACACACAAAGTTGTGTAGCAAAATGGAAATTTTCAGATAAGATACACAAGACAAAAATCATGCAGGATATTCCTGTTCTCCTCTAAATAACCCATATTGTACATAAACAAGAGATGAGCCAAAGATAAACAGTTTGTTTACACTATGTCAGCTCTGATTCAACATCAGCTGTGCTGCATCTTACAGAGTGGCCTGTAGCCAGCAGGTTAGCTTGAGCCTTCACGTGTTCAGAGAAATCTGGATCTACAATTCTAATGTGCCCACTCACACATCCTGTTGATGTGCCACTGACACTTGCAGTGTCCCATAGTCATACTATACAAGATAAAACTCACGGGTGCATCTGTTGTTGCCTTCTGGGTTCCTCATACCAAAGTATCCCATGGGGCAGGAGGCGAGGCACACACCTATCTGACGGATGTCATTACGCTCCAGGAAAATGAAGAGCTTGGGCTTACATTTAATGCAGCCATTATACTCAGAGCATCGGTCACAGCCTTTGGGGCAAGATGGTGGCCCCTCAGTACTAACTGTGGAAACATGGGGTAAACAGAGAGAAAGCAACAGTCAGGCTGAAGTAGGCAATAGAACAGCATAGTGTACCACATGAAGGATAAATTGTTTCCAGCCAGATATGAATTTTAATGGGAAGATAAAAGAGAGCAGTTATTAACATTCTGCCTATGAGAAAAACATCAGGTAATGGTAATATATTGCTGGCATCTCCACAGATCTAGCTATAAACCTTCCAGCACTTTATCACTCCAACAAGCAGAGGTTAATGCTTGCAGCTTAATTTAACAGGGGCCAGGCCAAACATCTTTGTTTGAACAGTTGCTCACTGTTTACTTCAAACTTCTTGCCAGAAATCCTTAACAGATTTTCATTTGGAGAAACCCATTTAATTGAGGCCGACAGTCAAGCCAGTCAAAATCAGGCAACTAACACCACACGGGGTCTCAATTGCAGTCAGTAAGAAATGATCTTGGCATTAGAAAACTGCAGCAGTAATGAACACGGCAGTGTTTTTCTATAATGGCACTAACCAGCAAGTATCCCCCGTCCTACATCCAAAAGTGCACTGCAGATGCATTTACACTTCACTTCCTTGTAATCCCAGGCTCTGACATTAATCCAATTTCTTCAAAATGTGATATACACAATCATTAATCCAAACCATTTCCAGGAAAAGTGTGTCATCAAATGCACTTTTTATTCTAGAAGCCGTTCAGAGGCAAAACCACAGTCATCAGAGTTGGTTTACAGTCTGTATCAGCTCTAAATATACATACTCTCACATATCCATCTGTCATCCTGTCTCACATGAATAAGTTATATAGTAAAAACTGTAAAAGGGCTATTCTGTGAATCGATTACAACATGTGTGGGTTTTGGTAGCCTCAAATAAAACAGTTACAGCCAGGTTTTTATGCGCACTATCACTAATAATGATAGAAATAATAACATCCCTGAGGAATAATATTTAATCAGGGCCGAGGGGAGTGAATAAATACAAGAATGTGATGTTATAAACTGTTTGTGACATGTAGTGGGCTACAAAAGAGAGTCTGTGCTGTTTAAAGGATAAGAAGCAATACACACTACTCTTCTCTCTGACGGTTTGTTTTATCTCTGCAGGATAATGAAGTCATTCAGAAAGAGAATGCAGAATTCCCACAGATTTATCATGAGCCCTTTTCCTACCATTGGGGATGGCTGATGACATTAAAGACATAAAAACTGTAAGTCGGACATGTATACTGTGAACCTTCTTCATGGCTTGTGGGGGAAAAACCATGACTGATTCTGATGTTGTAGAGGGCGCTCATCCCTGTGGCACATGACAAACTGTGACAGCATTTAAAGGTGCAATGTGAGAGATTTAGTGACATCTAGCTGTGAGGTTGCAGATTGCATCATTCAGCAAAGCCTTCTTACATCATGTTAAACAGCCTTCACAGTGATTACCATAAATGTAGGCCAAACTGTGCACTCAGAAAACAAGTGTGGCCGCCTTGTCCACGCAAAAGCTAATGGTGGATCACTTGATCACAGTGGGTTACTCACCAGAGGTCATGCTTTTTTGACAACAGGGATTCACACTGTCTTCCTTTTTCTTGCATTAAAGTATAACTATGATCCTCCATTTCTTCAAATTATAGTCCTTAAACTCATGACAATGTTTCCTCTTGCTCCTATATCGTTACTTCTTCTTTGTCTTCCAAGCATCTCTGAGTCCAAGCTGCTACTTAAGTGTGAAAACACAAGATTCATGCTCTAGAGCCATTGTGTGGTTTGTCTGTTCTGGGCTATTGTGAAAAAAAACATGGCAGCTCAACATGGCAGCCTCCGTGATACAAGACTCTGCTCCTATGTAGATATAAAAGGCTCATTCTAAAGAAAATGTAATGATTCTTATTTTCTGGTGATTACATATGAATGAAAATATAATTATGCATACTATAGCCTGTTTCTGCTAATAAATCCTTGTAAATTGTACAAATCACACCTTTAAGGTCATTGTGCACATTCTGTTTTTATGATAAAACATACAACAGTTCTTTCTTTTACATATGTGTGATTTTAATAACACCACATCTGTTACTGTGACCTGTGATGGCATTATATGAATTCTGGTTCATGCAGGTTGGGTGAGCTTGGCATTGGCTTAAAGTTCCGTGTGTCTAAAGGAAGATTTATTGCAAAGCTGACAGTAACACCAGCACTGAGGCTCAAAGGCCACAGATATACTGCATGTCGGCATCTCAGTGGTTGCGTGAGGTCAGAAAAATGCTTATAACAACACTGGCAGCATGGTCCAATTGAGAGCGTACAACTGTCAAGTACTCATTTCATTATATGCCCACAGAGCCAGACACAAAAAGAGCAATGGCTTTGAGGGCAAATCCATCAAAATTCCCTCTATATACAGTCCTAATAACCATAAAGTTTTACATGAACTGAGAGAGGCATAATCTTAAGAGAAGAAGTAAAATGAACCATTCAGGGGAAAGACTGAACTTAAAATAACCAGGCTATGAAAGACAAATAAGAACGATGAGAAAATAAACCAAATATTATCTTTACTTTGCTTATTAAATGTTTATAAGACATTCACTACTGTGACTCAGACCACAGAAACAAAATGCAGCAGTGCTGAAGAGGAAACTAAAGATCAAACCAAAGTGAGATAGAGAGAACTCACCCCGTCTCTGCCTTCTCGCCTTGGAGAGCTTGAGAACATCGCTGTGACCCACAGAGCTGAGGAAGACCATTGTTAGTGCCACCAGTCCCAGCTGCATAGTCCCTGTTGCCTTCCCGGCCACGCAGGGTCCCCCCCTGCAACCAGACGGATCAGGTGGGGGGGCCCCCTTCCTCTGTGGGACAGGTGGATCCCTCTGCTGCTGGGACAGACGATCCCTCCTCTGTACTGTGGTACTGTTCTTTTGTCTGTCTAATTCTCACGTTTCCTCCTCCTCTGTCTCTCTGTGTCTGTCACCCTAGTGGCTGCTGTGTCTGCAAGTCTGTATAGTGGAAGGTGATGCTGCGGTTGCAAGTCTAAACAAGCCTGAGGCATGACAAACCATCATGCTGGCGGTAGCTACTGGCAAAGGTAGTGGACAGAGCACAGTTATAGGATGGAGGGGGGAGGTAAGCGTGGGGTTGTACAGAAGAGGAGGAGAGAACGGAGAGGAGAGTGTCGAACGTCTGGTGGTTCAACCCATGAAGCTGGGGTGGGCTGGCAGGGAAGCAGTTTGAGGAGGGGATGCTGTCAGTGAGAGCTTGAGCTCACAAGCACGTGTCTTATAAAGGTGCTCTTCAGGGGCACTTAAATAAGAAAGACTGATGCAGGTTCTTGACTACAAGTGACAGCACAGTTGCTTGTACCAGATTCTGCTGAGAGAAAAGGAGGTAAAGGAGACAGGAGAATGGGGAACATGTTTAAGAAAAGGGTTGTCCCAGGTGGGGGTAAACTGACAGTAAATGAATAGTTTGACATTTTTCAAAATGGGTTTAACTACTTCATTGCTAAGAGTTAGACGAGATGATTGCTAGTTAATGATCAACCTCGGCCAAGTAACATCCTAGCACATAACCCCTCGAAAATGGCAAGTTGTAGTTTTTATCTTTTGGTTTTTGTAAGAATTTTCCTTTTAAAGGTGCTGGAAGTCAAATTTTGTTACTTTTAAACAAAGCCATACTAGTTGTCTAAACTAGCTGTTGTCAACCTTTGTGCTTAGCTCAGCTCAACAGCTGCTAGTCATAGCTTCACATTTAGCAAACAAACAGGACAGTGGTGTCAAATTTTTATCCAACTCTCAGCAAGGAAGCGAAGAACCATATAGAATAATATCAGTGTGCTAACAACTCATCTGCATAATGTACACCAACCAGCAACATTAATTTCTAATTCACCTCCCAAACTGCAGTCAAGTTTGATTCATACTTTTACTCCTTAACATCAGAAACGTCTGTAATCTGAAGACCTAAATTCATGAATGGTTGATTCAAAAGGTCAGTCATGGAACAAGGAAACTAGAAAACACAAAGACTTTAGGGTCATAGCATTTCAAGCTGTATTTGGACTTAGGTAATGAATTAAGCATGTTATCCTATGAAAATACAGTGTAGTCAACTCTTTGGGAAATGCACCGCATACTCAGACTGAAGGCCTTTGTCATATTTGTCACTGGGATCTTTTTAGATAGTGTCATCCATTGCCTGTATTTATAGCTCTTGTGTGAAGAGGACACACAGAACATGTTAGGAACTGAGCAATGGGAGGTCCTCTCTCGCAGCTCAATACTAACAAAATAGTACCATATTTGGCTGTTGGTTGTGACTCTGAATCACACTACGGACAATGCCATTTGGTGCATCTAAACATTCCAGCAGGCAACATTACATTCTTTGTTGAAGTATAAATCAAAAGGCACAAAATCATTGAGATTTCACCATATTCCACTTAGCAGCACTGACCCAAAATATTTTTATGTAATATAAGAATTACAGCATGCTTGAAACAAAATAAAATATCTTTCAAATTATAAAAATCACATCCATTTTTTTTTATTTTGCTTCTAAATGAAACTAAATGTCCATGAGGTTTAATAGAGTCACTAGTAAATGAGGGAGTTAGCTAATGTGGAATGAATTTTTAAAATGGAACAAACACACATATGCATATCACCATGTAGGATCTGACTCACATTCTCAACTGCAATTTCATTCGCTTTGTTTAATTACACGTCCTAACAGAGGAGAGGGGTACCTCTAGCCTCTCCTAATTGGGAAACACTTCAGACTGTCTTCGTCACCATTACGTTTATTTACTTCTTAACTCTTTAATGACTCCCAATGTCACTGACACCTCTCGACTAAAGTCATATTTAGAGGAAAGAGCCAAAAGAGTGGCGCAGCCAGACTTCTGCAGCACCCGTTTGTTACTTGAGAGAGTGATGATTGGGGAACAGAAAAATGCTAACACTTTGTATCAGTCAGAACACAACCTTTCCAGCATTGAGTAACTCAAGACGTGTGCCAGAGACTCTTTCATAACCCAGCACTCCCACGACTCTGCACAACTTGCCAGAAGCCCACCTCGGTCCATCTATATCTGTTCTCACACACCATGGAGATAAGGAGACAGGATCGGGCTGTTAATTTACTGAGAAAACTGACTGTTACACCCGTAGCTCACAGCCCCCCACCCCCACCCCCTTTTTAAACATGCTACATAACAAACAGTCACATCACCAGGCAACTGTGTCACCTGCACGGTCTCTGTCTCTGGACCCTCATCCATTTAACTGTGTGCCTTTCCTCGCCGTCAGCCACATTCAGCTGAGCCCAATGAAACCAAGCTCCGCTCATCAAATAGTCAGGAGATTAAATTGCCTCCTTTGTAAGTCCTAAGTTTGATCCATTAATTATTGAAACACTGAAAGGGAGCTCCCACACTGGGAATTAAAGAAGGTGCCACAACTCTGAGCTCAGTGTTACAAATGCAACCTGTCGATGAACTTTCTGCATGTGGCTGAACTGACTGGCATATTCAAGAGCTGAACAAAAGTCATCAGCATGTCTGCCAAAAACAAACTTACTCAGAGGAAGGTAATAGTAGCATTTGCAATGAGCAACAAAACTAGAATAGAAAGCAAAGAAAAGACAAGGCAGAAACTTCAGAGATATCGTTTTTCTTACATGGAAATGACCTAACCATTGAAGCTAACATTTCCCTGTTCTGCTGCGGCATGGCCCCACATTCACCACCAAAGCTTTTAAACAAGTGCATTTTGTGCCTCAGATTTGGCTGCTGGCATGTGCAGGGAACATCCATAAACTCAAGCTGTGATCGCCAACCTAGACCACAATAAAAATGCCTAAAGGAACAGAAAAAAGGAATGTTGACTGAGGCGTTTATAAGAAATACAGACCATCATCACCATGCTTATGTACACACCCATGTTCTCAACATCTGTTAATTTATATTTCTAGAGGACATGGTCTGTCTACCTCAGCTATCTGCAATGAATGTAGAGAAACACCTGGCTGCACTACCAGCATCCACAGAAGCCTCAACCATTTTAGTAAGCACTTCCTCAGCTCCATGGCTTAAAGAGATCAGGAAGTGAGAGGTCAGATGTGCAGTAGCTGAAATCTACTCAACACTCCGTGCAGAGAGGAGCCTCACTGACCTCTGTCTCACATCAAACTACCACCGACCTCTGACATGCATGAGCTTCCAGAGGATAACGAAGAGCATGATGTAACGTTGTGTTGGGATAGTGTGCGTGTATGTGTGTGTGTATGTTTATAGATGCTGTAGAAATGAGTCCTGAAAAAAAAACTTTAAAGATCAGTTTAGCCAAAAATTAATTATGCTAAATAAATTTTCAATATTATCAGTATCAGTAACAAATGAATGTAATGATAGCAATAATGTATTAAAATAACCTTTTCGTTTATGGCACAACTTTGACACCAGCTGGCTTCACCAAAGCGGTGAAACAGTTTATCCAGTGTTAAAGAGAAACGAAACGAACGTACCTGTGCGCCGGGGTCCTCAGAGTAAAGCTGTTCATTGAGCGGTCGGGACTCAATTTCCTTTTTATAAGGGGAAATCCGTCACTTCTTTGGTCATAAAAAACTCCTCCTAGAGAATACCCACATGCAGCTTTTCTCTGTCATCATTTCAAAAGAGGTATGATTTCATTTCTTTCACGCCTGTCACTCTTTTGAGGCAGTTCCTTAGCAGGTTGCGGAGAGGATGCACAAGACAGAAAATGTGCAAAGGAGTAAAAAAATATCCCTCCAATATCGATTATATGCATAAATGTGTATATATAGCCATGAGATTGAGTCAGTCTGACTTTTTTCGTCTTCCTAAGTTAAGAGACGCCTTTATGCCGAAGCTCCTGCGCGTCCGCGCTGTTTAGATCCACTGCGGAGCGTCGCGTTGCATCCAGCTCCAACAAGCAGACTCAACAAGCCGTGATATTTGCATCCAAACCCCAGAACTGCAGGCGGGCGTTTTAGGCCCCACCTCCGATTCTCAATGAGAGATGAAAAACCTGCCGTGGATTTACGTAGGCTACGTGTAGCTGTTAAACACCTTACTCTATGCGAAATTATTTGATGGGATTGAATAAATAACACTTCCTTTCTATTAGGCCTTTGTCCTTAAATATACACAGAGTTGGGTGAAATGTTAATAATTTCATGCCACATGAGACAAATGCAGACGAGCTTTTAATACTTTCAGCACATAGGTAATTTTCATTTCACTGCTTTCATCCTGAATTCCATTTTCCTATAAAGCAGAGACTGAACCAGCCAGGGGGTGACTGCATGGGGATAAATTCACATTCTCTGGGTTATCAGTCATGTGCTTGTTGGTTTGAGTGGATTCCTGACCTTTCAGGCACAGACAAATGGCTTTTCAACTTACTTTTGCCTATTAAGATGCAATAACAGGAATTTTGAAACCCATACTATCATTCCCTTAATAGCATCACTAGAAATGTTTTAATTATACTTTGTTTTATTTAATTGTAAGTAACTATCAGCCTAACTCTACAAAGGAATGATTTTAAATGTCACATGTAAAGATGGTCATATGGATATCTGGAGGTCAGTCATGTATTGCTGCCCATTTAGTCCTATATGTGCGGCTAAGCACATATAGGACTTGTTTTCTGATATTTGTCAGCATTAGCCGCACATACAGGACTTGTTTTCTGATATTTGTCAGCAATGTCTGCAAATTTGTGTTGAAATTTAAGTGGTGAATGCAAAAGCTCCACAGAAGAAATCGCATCATACATGACTTATAATGCTATTATTTTACACTGACAAAGTAAATGACAAGTAGCACTTCTGAAATGGCTAGTTGGACTTTATTCTTAAACCATTTTTGAGTCACTTTGGCAGCCCGTTCAGTCATGGGAACATCCCCTGCCTTCCAAGTGCCAACCCAGGGGAGCCCTAAAACAGAGCCAGACAGTCTTTTTGTTTTAGCTGTGAGATGCTTATGCATGCGAATATTGCAAAGTCAACTTTATTTACGTCATAATTTCTGTCATAGCCTAAAAGCCAAGGATAGTTATGGGCAGTGTAATACCTCCAGGGTAGGCTGCAGAGCAGCCAGTTTAAAAAGAGACCTGGGGATTAATGATGACTAGTGACAGGTTTATGACTCCAACACTGTGACTGCGCAGAACAGTCAGAAAAATATATACAGACATTCTTCATATCCATCATCCAATAATGAAAATAACACTCATGAAAAATTTATGTCAAAATAACTGATTTTAAAATCCATTATAAAATGCATTGTAATAAGTCATTATTTCAGCTCCACATCATACAGTTACTACACAAGATACAGTTTTGAGCAGGTACATGACAGGCCAAGTTTCCATTCTCTGCCTCACTACGGGAAAACTAAATCTCAACACAAACATTGTTCATCCTGTCTTTCTTAGATATAAAGGGGAATGATAGTGGTGTGATATTTCATACATCAGACGTTTGCTTCTGAAACACTGAACAGGATTTTCTCTTGATAAGGAGACTTCTTCCTTACTGAAACACTCTGGATGTTAGAAAGGCTTTTCATTTTAGTCAGTCTCAGTTTCTTTTTAGACCATTTATACTGTCTTTGCAAGGGGCACAGTGCTAAGTAACTTCATTTCAAAATCTCTTATGGACCCCAGTCACAACTATATAGGGTTACAGATAACTGGGGGCTAAAATTAACTTGAGTAAGCTTAAAATGTGCCCAACCAAAAATCACTTTTGAGCTTGTGTTTGGTGTTGTAGTATGAGCTAACTTGGCTTGAATAGCTTTTTCTTCTCAAGGCTGTTAATTAATCCATCACATATTTTCATAACCTATAATTATTGTTTCAGACAATTATTGCAGTATTTTCCAGAAGTATATGATTGAGAAAAGCCTAATAGCTTTAGGATAGCTGTAATAGACTGGTTTCTCAATGTTCCCATTATACTGTGCGCCCCTTTACTTCACTCTTCCCAAGACTAACCTCTGAGTATTTTAACACTAGAGGTCTGCATACCTTCTTCTGGAAATATGAAACACCAGTGTCTAAGGTTTTTGCATATTTTGTGTGTTACTGTGCTGTAACATGCCACAAACTCCTCCTCCAACAGTTATTTACCACACTGTTTCCTTCTAATGCCTGACAAAACCACAGCTGAGGCTTGCTCCAGTCAGTTATCTCCCCAATCATCTGTGCAGAAATCCTCATGACTTCAGGCTCCAGAGTACACACAAACTGTATCTTAGTTACCATACACACAGTAGATGGTGCTTCAGGAACATCTATCTATCTATCTATCTATCTATCTATCTATCTATCTATCTATCTATCTATCTATCTGTCTGTCTGTCTGTCTGCTTCTTAATCTTAAATTTACCCTCCAAAATCAATGTATCCTTTAGTTGTTTTTGTACATATTTTTACTATTGACTCTAGTTCTGTCATGATCAAATTTTAAGTAGCTCAACATAATTTTATCAAATACCCAACTGGTTGGCAGGAAATCCTAAAATATGACAGCAAGTATTGTATGTACTTTCCAATGTATCAGAACGGAGCCTTTACATCATCCTGTGATCATTGTTGGCAGCTTACAGTAATATCAAAATCAAATGTGGTGCATTATTACACAGAACGACCACTGTAGCCAACTGCCACAGTTCACCAAAATGACATGGGACTCATGGGAGTAGTGTTTCCTATTTGTAAAGATTAAAACCAAATAGCCACAGTTTTTAATGCAGTTTTTACCCGTGTGGCTGTCAGCAAGTTTAAATATTTGTAGTAGATGGAACTGAAGTGAAGGAGAAAGGACAGGTCCATAAAGCTTTATCATGCAACATTATTTTCACAAAACAAAATCCAAACTGTCATCAGAAAGTAGTTACATTGTAAATCATTTCAAGCTGGTTCAATTTTACAGTAAAAGCTGTGTCCCTAAGTTAAAAAATGCAAAACCACCCGAGTTAGCTAAACTTGAGAAAATTAATTTAAGGAACTTAGGGTATTTAGTTCAATGTACAACACATCAGTCATGCTGATAAATGTTGCATACAAATTTGTTTTCTTGTCTCATTTTCTCAGTTTGAAGAGTCAGTTCTTCTTTTGACATGAAGAGCAGTTGCAGTTAGCACAAAGACAACATGTTAGACTGCTCCCAGTGACTTTGTTTAGTTTATGGGGGTACTTATTGAATTTGATGCTAGGCTTCACTACAGTTTGCCTTGTTTTCATTATTATAAGAAAAAAACAACCATTTGCACATTACATGCTGGGAAGTCTATGCTGCTGTTTCTTGAGGAACACACTGTAATTTAATGAGTTTAGTGAACTCTTATTTCATCCCAACATTTCAAGTCAAAAGACATGGCAGAGGAATTCATTTGAATTAACTTGTTATTAGTAAAACCTTTACATGTGTGTTATGCTAATGAGAAATGATTATTAGATGTCACTAGATGTCTGCATGCTAACCTGGTGCTCAGTAATACCACTGCATAACTATCATGCTGGATTTTGATAAGATAAGATTATGAAATGATGTGGCTCTGACTGATTTACTTACCAGTTAGGCAGTGGCTATGCAGATGCTTGTCACCACTGTGCACAGGACTGATTTACATGTTTCTGTTCATGCTGGCTATTTGTTGCAATAGATAAAAGCACAGCAGCCAAAAAGTATTAGCTTTAAGTGGGCACTAATTTGATTAATAATTATGCTTTATCATCAATGGGACTGTTTAAAAAAACAGAGACCTGCCTTTAGAGCTGCATGTATAAATAGCCAGAGAAGGCAGTAGTGGGATTCAAAATACAAGAAAACAGCTTGACCAAAGGGAGGAAATGCATTTAGAGCTGTAGTCTGGTTTTCTGTCAGTCTCTCCAGGCCAGCAGGAACGCTTTATTGGACTGTCAGAAGCACTAAAACAATGACAGAGTACAGAATTTACTGTTTGACAAACAGCAGAAGACAGAAAACTTTGATTATGGAATTTCAAAATACTGTAAGAGGGATAATTACAGCTGTGCAACCTTTTTGTAACTCTATAAGTAAACAACAAAGAAACCCTGAACTGTTGCCTGTTGTTTATTGTATCGCCAGTCTTCTTGTCAACTCTGTCCTATAAGTGCAGACACAATAATCCACCCTGAGCAAACACACATCATATCTGCCATGGTGTTGATAGATGAATGGTTCCATGTTGTAACCCTAACCCTATGAACACAGCTGGAGAACACTAACAGAACTCCAGTGGTTGGTCATTCATCTTCAGGGATTTCTAAGTGTAATGTCTATGGTTTTCTACGTACACAATTACACGGGACAAAAACATAAATATATTCATGCTGTGCTATAATAATACATTTACACTTTTGAGGTCTAATGTATGAATCTGTTATTATAGAATATTTAATATCATACTTTTTTTCAATTGTCCAGTTTACAGATTATGGGGGTATTTACTGTCAGGCTAAATTACTGTCAGGCTGAGAAAATGTGGCATGGAAGTTTTTCAGTTTATCAGTGTATTTACCAACACTAATGATGTAAATGAGCAAAGCTGCAGGTGTGTTAATTTGACTGTGCTTGAGCTGTAAGGACGTACCTACTGTACTGTACGTGGGTGGACCAAGAGGGACGTAAGAGAGGAGTGTGTTTACTCTGAAGAAATCAACAAACATGTTTTGGAGCTGTAGTCACACAGTGTCCTGCCAGTCAAATAGTCTTTTCAAATAATCTTAAATGTTTTATTTCGTTCAGTAATTGAAGCATGGTTTGACCTGAAAGCCTGTAAAAGTCCCTCACATTGTCCTCTGGCAAGCGCTGCGATTTACAAACACCTTCTCCCTCCTCAAACATGTTCTTAACTTCAACGAGGTCTCAGATGACTAACAGCT